CACAGCAGATCTCAATGGGGCAAAAACTCATGCTGTTTATTTATACTGATATGGAATGGGTGATGTGTTAGAAATGAAAGGATGCCACATCATTTGATGGAAATGGAAATCTATCAATCTAAAGAGGGCTGATTTCAAAGACATCCCAAAAATTACAGTGAAAAAATAATGCTGCAGGCTAGTCCATTTTGCTGAAATTTCATTGCAGCAACTCAAAATGGTGTTCAGTAATTTGTATCGCCCCGTGTGCATGTATGCATGACAACATCTGGGCATGCTCCTAATGAGACAACAGATGGCGTTCTGGGGTATATCCTCCCAGATCTGGACCAGGGCATCACTGAGCTCCTGGACAGTCTGAGGTGCAACCTGGTGGCGTCGGATGGATCGTAACATAATGTCCCAGAGGTGTTCTATTGGATTTAGGTCAGACATGCGTGGGGGCCAATCAATGGAATCAATTCTTTCATCCCCAGGAACTGCCTGCATACTCTCGCCACATGAGGCCGGTCATTGTCGTGTCGGATCCACTGCACCAGCATAGAGTCTAACAATGGGTGCAATGATTTCATCCTGATACCTAATGGCAGTCAGGGTGCAGTTGTCTAGCCTGTATAGGTCTGTGCATCCCTCCATGGATATGCCTCCCCAGACCATCACTGACCCACCACCAAACCAATCAGCGTAGCGTTCTCCACGGCTTCTCCAGACCCTTTCATGTCTGTCGCATGTGCTCAGGGTGAACCTGCTCTCATCTGTGAAAAGCACTGGACGCCAGTGGCAGACTTGCCAACTCCGGTGTTCTGTGGCAAATGCCAATCGAGCTCCATAGTGCCGGGCAGTGAGCATAGGGTCCACTAGAGGACTTCGGGGCCCTCAGGCCACCCTCGTGAAGTCTGTTTCTGATTGTTTGGTATGCTGACGGTCATTTTGGAGGGTTCTGGCAGTGCTCCTCCTGCTTCTCCTTGCACGAAGGAGCAGATACTGGTCCTGCTGATGGGTTGTAGACCTTCTACGGCCCTGTCCAGCTCTCCTGGAATAACTGTCTGTCTCCTGGAATCTCTTCCATGCTCTTGAGATTGTGCTTGGAGACACAGCAAACCTTCTGGCAATGGCACGTATTGATGTGCCATCCTGGAGGAGTTGGACTGCCTGTGCAACCTCTGTAGGGTCCAGGTAGCGCCTCATGCTAACAGTAGTGACAGTGACCCTAGCCAAATGCAAAACTGGTGAAAAAGAGTCAGAAAAGATGAGGAGCGGAACAAAAGTCAGTGGCCTCCACCTGTAAAACCATTCCTGTTTTGACTGTCGTCTCGTTGTTGCCCCTCTAGTGCACCTGATGTTAATTTCATTAACACCAATCAGCTGAAACTGATTAACAACCCCATCTGCTACTTACCTGACAAAATCAATATCCCAGAAGTTTAATTAACTGCAGCTGATCCAAAACTCTGCTGCCTGTTTACTAACTAGAACTATGAAAGTAGAACACAACACTGGTTTTGAAGTACCTTCCACCAGCTCCCTGTAACCCAGAGAATAGACTTTAAAATCATTCTGTTAGTCTTTAAATCCCTGAATGGATCATCACCTCAATACTTAACAGATTTGTCATCAGTGTATCAACCTCTCAGAACACTCAGGTCTTCTAGTTCCAGCCTACTCTGTCCAGCTAGAACTACAACCAAACATGGAGAAGCAGCATTTAGTTCCTATGCTCCACTGATCTGGAACAAACTCCCAGAAGACTGTAAAAGTTATTTAAAGTCAAAGTTAAAAACCCATTTGTTTAGCGCTTCCTGTGACTGTTAAGTTGTTAACTGAGGTGTTATTAGTTTAACATTGGGGTCCAACTGTTTCTATTTACTATTTGCTTCTACAAATTATTTTATTTTTACTTGGTTTTATTCTGCTTTCATTTTCTTTCTATTTTAATGTTCAATTCATATAAAGAAATTTAAATGATCTTTATACTAAACTGTGCTATATGAATAAACTTGCCTTGGATGCTGCAGTGTATCCAAAATTGACAAAATCAAATAATTGCCTTTTTGTAACTATCATTACAGTTTCATAGTGAAATATTTTCAATTGTTGTTAACATACATAGCAAGTCATCCATTCAGGTGGCAGCAACTCCACATGTTCAGGCATATCAAAGTGGCATCATTTATGAAAATGCTGATCTATTCAGATTTGTTTCCATATAATCACCTTTTCAGTTTATAAAGAATTCCTCTAGAATGTCAAGAGTGAATGAAAAATATACTTGCTGAAGTCAGAAGGTTACTACAGGAATAAAAACTGTTCTGCCTATTGCCTGTTTCTGCTAAAACATTAAATATGGATAAGCAAAAAATATCTAAATGATTTTCCATTATATCTAAGAGAAGAAAAACATAATCAACAAAAAAGTGGGCATGTGACATAACCAATCAGATCTCTAAACACATATGCAAATTAGGGTCAGCCATGATTGCATTTGGAAAAGTGAAGGCACATTTACCATACAGTGAGTCCTACTGCTAATATAAATAAATAATAATAAATGAACACACACAACACACACACACACACACACACACACACTTAAAACACCAGTGCTTAAAACCTTTTTCTAAAATAAACTTGCTGATTCAACAGGGAAAACCTGTTGTCAGAGAAAAGCAGACGCAGGTTACAGCAGCGGTGAGGAGCCGGGCGAAGTCTGGTAGCCTGATATATCAAGTGTCACAGTACCTTTACAGGATTGGTTTTAAGAAACAATTTTATCTTGTTGTTGCTAGGCCGATTGGACCTACAGGGTATCCCATGTGGGAGGATCATGGAAAGCTTGCCATGTTTTGCTGTGTATTTTCGATCTATGATGAGTAAGAGAAAATGAAAAAGTAAGAAGAGTATCTGTATCTATGTCTTTCTCTAGGCATAGATCATATCACTTTTACTCACTGATGTTTGGTCCTGCCTGCTCCCAAATTGGGAGAGACGGATTTGATCAACAGAATGTTTAACATTTGCCAGTCTAAAGCACAATGTAGACAGATATTTTAGATAAATGATAAAGAATTAACCCATCCATTGACCCTTGAAAGGCCTTTACCTTACTTCATAGCTTTGTCTCACATGAACATTAATTTTCCCAAGCCTTGCTGTACATTAATTCATTTGCTCTTTATATCCTTATTTTTTTGTCTCAAGCCCCCACCCCATGTTTCCCCTTCTATGTGCCCTGTTCTCTCTCACTTGCCTTCACTAATCCTTTTGTTTGGGACTGAGGGGCCCAGGCTTTCACTAACTGCGTGGCACTGTAAGGACTGGGTCAGATCAAGGGTGCCCGCTGAGATCTCTTGTTCTCTATCAAACCAGCATACCTTATATGAATGCTTCTCTCTACAAGAACAAACACCCTTCTTTTTTAAAGTTGTCTGTTTCTTGTTTTCCAGGTTTACTTGTTTTTTTTTCTTTTTGATCACTTTCTTCGCTTAGACCTATTGCCAGATATCAGCGCTTGAAGGGATATTAACGCTGTTGGGAAAATGCACTTTAGGAGCTCAGCTCTATGTTTGGTCCTCCTGTTGCATCTTTGTCAGCTGGGCAGAGTCACCAAGGGTAAAACACAGGACCAAGAGTACCTGCGGGGCACTCTCATGGCGTTGGGTCTACCTTTGGAGACTGATGAGAAGCCTACACTCCAGAACAGCAAAATTGGTCTCCTGATCAAAAAACTGCTTCAGGATGTGCACTGTGCAGAGAGGATGGGCATCACCCTGGACATGTGTGAGGAAGTAAGGCCAGTCTTATTTTTATCATGTGTCTGTCAGTATATGATATGCTCTGAATAATTACTGTTATGTCCAATACTTTATACCTCTCATATTTTAGCAAAGTTGCATTGGCAAAGGTCAAAATTTTAACTGGGCAGTTCAAACTCATAAATGTGCATTGATCTAAACCAGGAGTGGGGAAGGCTTACTGTCTTGGGAACCATTTAAAATGTTTAAAAGGTCTTATAAAGCCCCAAACAATTGGTTAACCTATATGATCCAGTAATTGTATTGTAAATAAATCCAATTAGACTCACATAGAGCAGGTTGATGTAAACTGTACTTTATTTCAAGGTATGGCTGAAGCTGCTGTCATTTGTCATCTCCTACAAATGACCAACTCTGAAACTGTTTTCATAAACAAACTGTTGTTTGCTAATAGGAGGCAAGCAGCTCTGCAGTAACGGACAGTCCTTCCAAATCCCCCTCTTCATAATGCCTGGGCTTTTTTGTTAATACAGTGAAAGCAAATCTTGCTCTCACTTTGTTTTCTCTCAGTAAATGGTCTTGTAACGTAACCAGTTATTGTTTTACATCCAAACTCTAATGAAGCATGGAAGCCCTCATTAACATACTGAGGCCCGCCATCAAATTCAAAACAGGATATTTTTATTGCAGGAAGAGCCTTGTTAAAAACTGAATTTTCCTACCAAAAAGAATAATATAAATTAAAATGCTTGTCAAAATACAGCATTTAATATCAATCTTCTTTTTTTTTTTCTGTAGCTATGCTCAAAACCCATGACTTTAGGTTTGCTGTGCTGATTTTTTTTATTATTTAATTGTGTTCCCGACTAGATAAAAGGGTTCTCAGGAGATCAAGGAGCCCTGAAGCCATAGGTTTTTAAACCCTGGTCTAAAACCATTCCTTTGTAGCCTTGGTTATGCATTTAGAGTCACTGTCCTGCTGGAAGAATGTGTCTGTAGGTGTGGACTCTAATGCTCTTTAAGAGGGAAATTGGGGAACTGGGCTTCTTACCTACCCTGCCAGTTTAGGTGGACAGCAATGTATCATACTCTTCCCATTTTCAGAAAAAGGAGCTTCTTAACCATTCCACAGTGGAAGATTTCCATTGGCCTTTTGACATTATCTCTGATAGCAAGCCTTTATTCATTGACACCAAGCAGCCAGCAAAAAAAAAAAATAAAAAATGAAAGCTTAAAAAGGAAAAAATACTATATGCTTTCAAAAAATAATTATGAAATGATCTGATGATACACACAAATACACATTTTAGCAAACCTTTTCAATTTTGGCTAATAATTAGATACTTTTTTTTATACATGTCACTTAACCTTAAAAATTACATTAGTCAGAGATACTGTATGAAAAGTTGTAGGATTTAGTTTTCTGTACACGAACTGAAATCATACCAAATTGAATTCCATTAACTAATTAGCTGACATCTGATTACAGTTGTTTTCTGTGTATCATAATAAAAAGGGGACCAAGTACATTGGAAAAACTTCAATTTGATTTAGATCAGATAAAGTCTAGTTAAATCCCACAATAAAATCCTTAAAATTTTGTTATTTAAACATAAGACAATGTGAAATATTGATAAAGTATAAATACCTCTGAAAGTCACTGTATTTGTAATTGCTGGACTGCAAGTGCAAAGGCTTGAGCTTATAGGTCACTCATGCAGAGAGGCTTTAGACATTACTTAGTTTGACCTAATAAAATGGATTTAGACATAGTGCATGTTTGCTCAGGTGGGAACTCGTTGTGGGATTTAGTGCACATTGTGCCGGGAAAGTAAGATTTAGAATTCAATTAACCAAATTCCACTGAAGATTTAAACCTAGGGTTGAGTTTTACAAGCTATTACTGGTTGATCAAATTGAGCTTTGCCATCTTTTTTCAAAAGTTATACACAAGGCTGTAAAACGTATCAAATTAACGCAGTATTTTATGACATTGTGATGAACTACATGACCTGATGTTTTACATCGTTCTTGTTTTTCTTCTAACAGTGCCTGACACCAAACAGAGCTCTCTCAGTTCTTGAAAATGACAGGATTAATCTCACTGAAGAAGATTACTATAAGATCTCAACAGTTCTGCTATATTACATAATCAACTTGAAGGACCTGTGTGTCTCAAAAGTCAGCCCTCCATCAGCACTTTCTCCTTCATCTGGGAACTTACAGTTCTATTTGCTGCACTTCATCAATCTGAATCCAGATGAAAACAATCAGTTTCTGTCATACAGCGAGACAGACACTATTCTGCAGCTCATTAACCAGCACTATCGTCCCTCCAAAAGTGGTTTGCAAGTAGGGTCTTTCTTTTTTTTTTAGACAGATGTGTCTTTATCGAAGCAATATAAAGTTTAGATGAATTATTTATCTTTGATTTCAGTGCATTCATTCAGCTCATATTCTGAAAGAGGCGGATTTTGATGGAAATCCTGGTGCAGCTGTGGCAAAGGTGCCCAAAGTAGCAGCAGCTATCATCAGCCACATCCTGCAGGGACACTGCTTTTCAACAAGAAACCTCCCATCCCCAGACTTCTTCACAGATTACATATTTCACTCGCTAAATGGTTCAAATAACCCACAGATCATAGGTAAGAAAAACATACTAACTCACAGATATTTAAGTCATCATATATAATAAAGTAGCCTCTGTTTCAAAGTACTTTGAGGCTGTAGTGGCTTTGTTAACATTTAGTTGGTTTTAAAGACTTTTAATATACCTTACTGTATGTGCAGAGCAATTATGCACAATGTTGACCGTTCTATATTACTGGATATCATCCTGTTAGCCAAGTCCTTATGTATGGTAAACCATTTTTAGACTTTTATAATTATTTAGAAAAGGGCATGGATTACTGGGGAGTCACACTAACTTTTTTAAGTCCTCCTATCCCTGGCAAGTTAAAATTTGACAAGTTTAGACCCCCTCCCGTTCGACTTTTTGACCAAAAATCTAATGTTAAAGATTAATTAAATTTCTTCTGGACAAGAAAAAAGCAAGTTTGTATTATTTTAAAATTTTATGTACACACTTATAATAAAGACATTTCAGATTTCCTATAACTTCTTGCATCGTGACATGGACCTTCATAATGCTTAAACTGCAATTATTATTCCTAAATAGTTATTGGTCATAAATGTCTCTACCACCCCAAACTTTGAAGAAGTATTTTTTTTACCTCTCTCATCTCGACCTAGACCTGGAGGAGCTTCTTCGTCAGTTAGGAGTTGGACATGGTGAAAAAGCAAAGCTTTCTTCCAATAAGAAGAAGCGAAGCATCAATGGAAGTCCACATTTGCTGAAAAATCTTAGCCAAGATACTAATGGAGAATGGGCACAGGTGAGGCTTAATAACAGTGAATTCTCAGTGACAGGATCCCTTTGAAATACTTGCAGGTGCAATGCAAATGAATTTCAAAGGCTTTAATCTCATCTAGTTTCTTTTGCATCTTTACCTATTCAGGTGTGTTTTTCAGCCAATCAGCTGGTGGATATTTTTTCTTTGGACCATCGTTTAGCCATTTCCAAGGACCAATTCAGAGAAATCTGTCCTGCCATCATTCAGCAGCTGCTAGGCAATGTCTGTGGGTCACGTCAGCAAATGCCAAGGGGGCCAGTTCCTACGGCTATTGAAAGTAAGTCAATCCACTAACTGTTCCTTTTCTCTATATGTAACAAAATTCCTTTGAATTAAATGTTATAACTTTAAACTTTTTTTTATTATTTTATAATCCTGACTTATGAGGATGATACAGGACTGTCAGGTCAAAGCATTTTTGTATACATCTGTATCTGTATATAATTATGCTATTTTGTGTTGACTTTTTTTCATATTTCATACTTTTGATTTGCACAAATAAAAATACATATCAGTAGCACTGTACGTTCCTTTGTTCCAATAGAGTATGGCTACAGCACAGCTGCCATCCTGATCATCACATTTGGCTCCATGTTTGGGATATGCCTGGTTTTTTTCAACTCATGTCAGGAGACCTACACACTCATCCTGCAGCTGTTTGTGGGCCTGGCAGTGGGAACCCTTTCAGGCGATGCGCTCCTGCACCTTATTCCACAGGTAAGAGACAATGAATTGCAAAGACCGCTTCACACCAAACTGTAGATACACCATGATTTTCAAGAATAATCCAACCCATACAGAATATGGGTTAGATTGCAGGTTTTATGTGATAAATCAGAGAGTCCCGATGTAAAATGGATTTTATTTTGAGTAAAGATGTTTGGGTGGTAAAATACTAAGTAAGTGGGGAAATTGTAAGAGTTCATTATCATGGTGGCCAAAGCAGTAAAACTAATTTACAAAATCTATATATGCACCATAAGTTAAAGCACCTTATATAGTATTCTTTTACACAGCTGATAGAAATAATAATGGTTGTTTCACCTCCAAAGAAGTGCTAACATTGAGTGTGGAGGTACAGAAACCATTAGTATTTATGTATTTTTTACATAAAATAGGGAAAAGCATCCACCTACGTTTGTAATCATAATAGTATTGTATGGTGCCGTAAAGTGTAAAACAATATTACATTACATCAGACACTTTTAAAAGTTTGACAAAACAATTAGACTAAGTGGTAGCCAGACGCTGTCAATCCGAACAGACCCACTGTTTTGTAAAACATATTAAAGTATTTGATCAAACTTGTAAAAGTCTCTCAGGTAAATCTTACATTCTTTTATATTTCCTGGTCACCAAAGTATTGGGATTGTTAAGACAACGAAAAAAACAACAACTTTCTGCTGCGTTCTTAGAATGCATTAATCTCCTGTTTGTCTTTAAACTAAAACGAGGATTTCATCTAGCAATATTCAAGTGGTGCCCCTACAGTAGAATAATTTTAATCTGGTGTTTGGGGTTCATGGCTTGCATGTCTTACTTGTGGATTTGCTTTGTTTCTTTTTGCGTCCTTTGTAGATTCTTGGCCTACATGACAGTACTCACAGTCATGGTGATGAGCTCTACATTGAGCATAAGGAGTATCTGTGGAAGATCCTGGGCATGATTGCTGGAATTTATGGATTTTTTCTCATTGAAAGAATATTTTCCTTCTTGGTCCCATCTCATGGACATGTAAGGGTTTTGTTTTTTCAGCCTTTCCAGAGTTACTGACATTGAGAAAGAGCATAAATAATCATGTATCACAGCAAAAACATTAAAGCGCTGACTGATTGCTTTCTTATAAACTGTGAGAATCCTGAGAAAAACACTTTTGTCATGACTTTGGATGTTGTGTAACAATGGTCACCTGATGTTCTTTTGTCTGTAGGGTCATTGCAGTGACCTCACCCTGGACCTGAACTCTAATGGTCAGTCTCAGAGGAGCAAGTCCATTTCAACCATCCAGTTGGTGAGTCTCATCACAGCAATAGCCACATTGTAGGTTGTTTAAGGATTGCTGTCAGAAAACCCTTGTTATCTCCCTTTCTATTTTGATTTAGATAGAACAGGAGAAGACATTTGCAACAATAAAGTTTTGCATGATAATACTAAAAGGTGGAAATACAAGAAACAAACTAAAATTAATTAATGAATCCCTACTTTCCCTTAAATCCCTTCCTCCTCTGTAGTTATATAATGTAAGAGATGGAGTAGTGTAGGAGGGAGTAAAGAAACATAGAGAGTAGGGTGTTGGACAATAAAGGATATCATTTCCCAGAAAGCTTGTACTGAATTGAACAGATCCCTTTACAGTAAATGCCTGCTTGAATTTTTTTTTTGTCGACACACACTCAATGAAAAGAACAACAAAAAAGGAAGAAAAAAAATAAGCAAATATATATAGAGAGAAAAGCACTCCATTTACTCCTAAGAAACCCTTTATTCTAAGAAAATATATAGTTTTGGTGAATCATTTTTAGATAGCTGTAGTGTTTATTACAGAAACCCTGATCAGATTAAAAAAAAAGAAACTTTTATTATAAAAGCTGATACTCTAAAGTTATTGTTGAGTCAGAAACTGCAATTACTTTAAAAAACAGAGGTACAGTCTGTTTTTTCTTAAGATTCAGTTGTTGTTTAAAAAGCATATCAGACTTTATCTTGCCACCACTAAAAGTCCAAGTCAAATGTGATCTGATTAGGTGAGATAAACGATCATTTTGCAGGAGCAAGTCACAATAAAAGCAAAGCATTGGTTTATTACAATAAAAACAACCCATTGGTTTATTTAGTTTTGGTCTTTTATGTCAATTATGTCAAATATCATTTTGTGTGAAACAATATTAAGAACTTAATGTGTATAGCTATCCATGAAGTGCAATTTTCCAAAAACGTAAGTAGAGAAAACAAAAATTCATAAAGTGTTTTATGTGAAAACTATTTGACTGATTTTTGCATAGTTTGGCAGGCATTGTAGCTTGTCAATAGGTAGTCCTAAGGTGCCACTCCAATATACTGTAGGTGAGAAGGCAATGCAAGGACAATAAAAGAATATTATCATTCATTTAAAGATAAAAAAAAATTCAAAAAGCATTACCAAGAGAAAAAAGAGTAAATGGATAGAAAAATTTGGAGTGGAGAATCCAGATTTTTATTGCAGCAGCGGTTATGGCAATCAAAGACCTTGGGTGCACCCCCCATGACATCTTTCTTCATCGACGTCATAAAGACATTTCACTGCTTCTTCTTCCTCCTCCTTGATTGTCTCTAGCTCCACCCTTAGCATGCTGGTGCATTAGATATTTCTCATGGGCATTTTTTAAAATAGTCTAAGGCGGAAACCAGGAAAATGGGTATGCAAAGTTAAATGGTTAGTACTCCTAAAATGGCGGCAGTTCAAAATGGGAGATATATTTGAGGTCCAGAAATGCCTTAGAAAATGTACCTTGATACTTCTGTGGACACCTGTGGGCTACTCTGATACTTGGCAATGAAAATAGCTTCTCTATCAAAAAGCTATTTGGTGTGGAAAACAGTAAATTTACAACCATTTTACTGAGAAATGTAATTAAGCTAGTAATGGCGCCACTTATAATGGTGCATCTGCCCAACACTGTTAGTTCCTTCTGAGACAGGCCTCAAGCAATTAGGGCAAGGATGTTCAGCTCAAGTCCTCAAGTCATTGTATTCTGCAACTTTTAGATATCTACCTGATCCAACACACCTGAATCACATTGCTTGATTACCTCTTTAGTTGAACTCATATTCCACGGAGGCTTGGGTGGCCTTCATTCACAAGTCTCAATTTTGAGTTGAATTACAACAAGTTGTAAGTCGACCTTCAATCATAGAAGTTGTGAAAATATTTTATAAAGGTTCCAAAGTTACTTAGTGTTGGTTTAAAATTACTAACTGGAAGCTTAAAAAGCCCTGTCAAGTTGTTTACAGACTTAAGACTGGAATGCACTCTGCAGCCATAGTGTGTGACTGCCTACATAAACTTCTGTTTCTCAAATAATAAACCCTTGATAACCAGTGATCTGAAGAAATGGCTAAACACTTCAGAAAGTGAAAGGATTTGTTGAGGAGAATATACAGAAGAAACTCAAGGTCAAGATAAGAGAAAGCATGGAGGTATACAGGAAGAAGCTAGAAAGCAAACTCCCCGAACTTTCCAGCAGGAAAAAAAAATCAGATGTGATAAAAATCACTTGCTTCAAGCAGGAGACTCAGACAGATGGAAATTTGAACAGAACCTAAAACTGAATGCATTCTCCAGCTGGTTCAGTTCATGAACAAGCTCAACATCCTTCTATGCTTTCCAGAGCCAAATGGAGATCATGTCCTCCCTTGTCCCAAAGATTCTCATTCACACCTCAAATGTTTCATCGTCCATCTCTGCCATGGACCCTCCTGCTGCTATGCATTTTTCCAACCAAATCAGAAGATGTTGCTGCTCACTGGAGGCAAGTGGAGATACCGAATCACAATATGTCACCAGGTCCAGTTGCTGTCAGCCTCAGAGTATAAAGGACTGTGCAGATTTGTCGGATTCTGCAACACCTCTTCAGCTTTAGTCTGACTCAGGAGACAGTTCCACCACTGTGGAGGACCTCCTGCCTTGTTCCAGTACCAAAGAAGACTCATTAGCCAATTGCTATAGACCAGTTGTCCTAACATCACACATCATGAAGGTCCTAGAGAGATTTTTTGTTGCTAACCTCAAAAAAACAAACAACCAGCAATAATGACTCACTGCTGTTTGCTTATCATCGTGGAGTTAGATTTTAAAATGCTATCCTACACTTGATTCAACAATCCCACTCTCATATACACAGTGGGAATAGACACGTGACATATACTGTAGACATGTGAGAATCATGTTCTCAGATTTTTCTCCAGTCCAATTAACACAATTTAGCTTAGGATACTTTGTCAGAAACTCCAGAAGACTTAGGCGGGGACATCAATTATTGCCTGTATCAAAGACTTATAAAATAAGAAAATTAGCTGGTGGAGTGTAGTTTAGATGGCAAATAAGACAAATGTGAGCTGATTACAAAAAACAAATTCATATCATCAGCTTTTTATACCATTGCGGTACCACATGTTTGTTGAATGTTATGGCTACAACAAATATCCCAAAAACGGGCACAACACTAAAACTGCTAAAGTATAAAAACTGTAAAAAAAAAAAAAAAAAAAAGAAAGAAAAAAAAAAAAAGAAAAGCCAAATGACTAACAACCCAAATAGAAAAGGAGTGTCCTTTATAGATTGTTTTTTAAAGTAGGGATATTAACATTAACTTTATGCAATAAAGATGCAGCTGTGTTATATTTTCAGAAAAAGCTTGTAGTTTATGAGTTGCATGGATATTTATTTTTTAAAAAGCCTGATCAGTTATTGTTCTATAATTGAAATTGTGAAAGGTCAAAAAAGGGTTGAAAGCCTATAATAATTGTTTTCATTTTATCAGGGCTCAGTGGAAGACGTCATAGAGGGTCCAGAAAATCCTCCTGAACATACAAACACCGGGAGCAATCCTCATCAGAGTAAGCAAAACAGCTCATTTAAAATGTGTCTAAAAATAATGTGTTGTGTGTAATTAGTCCTCTGGCACAACAGAGGAGCCTTCATTTGCACACACTCTCTTTGTGTGTCCAGGACAAGAGGTTCCCCTGCTAGCTGTGATGGTAATTGTGGGAGACAGTCTTCATAACTTTGCTGATGGCTTGGTTGTTGGGGCGGCTTTCTCCTCATCAGCCGAGACTGGCATGGCAACCACAGTGGCCATTCTGTGCCACGAGATCCCGCACGAGATGGGTGAGAGGCTATTATATTTGTTTTACTGCTGAGGCTAGAAAACAGAAATACCCTTGAGTGATCATTTTTCTGCTGCTTTTTTACTTTAAGGGGACTTTGCTGTGTTACTCAGCTCTGGGCTCTCAGTGAAGATTGCTGTACTGATGAACTTCCTCAGCGCTTTGACAGCTTTCATGGGTCTTTACATTGGACTCTGTGTCTCCTCTGACACAGATGTACAACAGTGGATATTCTCTGTCACAGCTGGAATATTTCTATATTTGTCCCTGGTAGAAATGGTGAGGCACTTTTAAATAAGGAAAAAAGATTCTTAAATCTTATTATCAACAGGTCCAAAAATGAATTTATAAACATACAGTAGGTTTGGTGTAATAGTCAGCCCTTGCTAAGAGTTTATCTCACATCGTTCACTAAACCAAAATACCAATAAATTTGAAAATTATGAAATGTATTGAACCCATGCCTAAAATCTCAATGAGTTTAGACAAAGGGGGGCAAAGACTTATTCTCAATTATAATTTAACCTGGATAGAAGAAAAAAAAAAACACTCACCCCTCAAATATATGCAGAGGTGTCAAGTAACAAAGTACAAATACTTTGTTACCTACTTAAGTAGAAATTTTGGCTTTCTTTACTTTACTCGAGTAATTATTTTTAGCAAACTTTTTACTTCTACTCCTTACATTTTGTTGCAATTATCTCTGCTTTCTACTTCTATTTTCAAGATGGAGTCATTAGTTTTGTTTCTTTTGAGCTCATTTTCATTATGGCATGTAGGTATAAAAAACAAAAAAAAACAAAAAAAAACCCATAAAAATAATTTGTTTCATACAGACATTTATTTTGTTGTGGTTGGAATTCACTACATACCAAAATAAATAGTTTTTCAAGATGATGCCAAGTTAAATTTGACACTATTGCCATTAGTTATAAAATGTAAGGAAGTTATTAATCAGATATGTAGAAAAAAGGTTCATTTGTAAAAAGCTACTTTTACATTCCGTAAAAATTGAAAAATATCCACTGGACACCAGGAAGCTTTCTCAATTCAAATGTCTGGATCCGCAGTGAGTTTGAGTCTTATATAGACAAAGCCTTGTATTGCTTGGAAACATGCAAATGGTAACCGATGAATGGGTCGTTTGGTTCCATCGTTAGCTTTTACGTTTACACTTTTACTTGAGTAATAAGCTTAATTTTAAACTCTAACTTCTAAAAAAGTGTTTTGAAACAGTAGGATGTCTACTTCTACTTCAGAAATAAATATTAATACTTTTGACACCTCTGCAAATATAAAGAAATGTCCTACTAGTGGACAAGAAGAAATTGTTGTTGTATATTTTTCAATAGCATTTACTAAAATATGTTTAAGCTAATATTTTTTTTATTTGCTTGATTTTTGGTTTTGCTGTATAGTTGATTTTTGCAGGAACATTATAGAAAGGTGTGAAAATTTAAGTCCAGTCACCATCCTGTCATGTACAGAAAAAAAGAATAAATAGGAAAAAAGAAAAAGAGTGAGGTAGCATTAAGCCACAAAATAAACAAAACACAGCTGTGCTCTACTACCATGCTAAGGTCAGCTGACAGCTTTGCTAGGGCCTGGGACAACACGCACACAAAAGTCAACTTAACTGCATACTTCATTCTCCTTTTCCTGTTATATTCTTCAATAATCTGCTATTTACAGATTTTTTTTTGTCCTCCAAACAAGTCATAGATGACTTCACTTCATATATGTGGTTAGAGATCAAATGGATCCTTACTTAAAGAATACATATTAGATATACCTGATGCATATATATATATATATATATATATATATATATATATATATATATATATATATATATATATATATATATATTTAATTACTCTAATATTAAATATTTTTATCACAGTTATTATCTGAAAAATTACTTCTGCCTGTGTTTTTAATGGTCATAGTATATCCTGGGCTGGGGACAATTGACCCCTTTGTCCCCCCCTGTTGGTTGGCGTGACCATGGTTAATGCTTATGTCATCCTGTAGTGCTTTGTTTAATCTAATGATCAAAGACTAAGGACAATTCTTGCACTAAGAACCATTTATGACCGTTTAGAAACATGCTGCAAATACCACCCATGATGCCATCCTTTGCTTTAGTTCAATAAGTATCCTTTGATTAAAAAGAATATCAGCATAATCATGATATGTTAGATATAAAGACACACTAAAGAAAATAAAGGTGTTGGCTGAACACTTACAAAAGCCTCATATCATGCAATACCCACTATTACTGCAAACGACACAACACACATTTCTCTGTTCAGTCTATTCTTCCTGTTGTTCAATAATGTACAGCTGCAATACCACCCACACATATGTTAATATTCTCAGATTTGCTCCTTGCCTGCTTTTGAAAAAAAAAAGAAAAAAAAAACTTGAATGATTTTGTTGGTACTTCTCTGCATTATCACCAATTGCAGGATGCCATTTTGCTGCAGCATTTACCAACTAGCGCTGCCTCTGCTGACCACCTTAGGCTGGTGTTTTCTTATTTCTGTATTTGTGTAGTATTCTAGCTTGGATCTATTAAGAGCGGGAAAAAAACTTTTTGACAAAAATGATAGTCTGTAAGCCATTTATTTACCATCTAGTTATGCTACAGGAACCATATTTTTTTTTTTACTTACTAACAATGTAATCAAAATAATCTTTTTTTAGCAAGCCTCAAAAAACAGCGTTCTCTATCAGATGTATCATTTTATTAGGAACCAATAAGAAAGGAGATAAATAATAATAATAATAATAAATAGTAATAATGCTAATTGCTGAGTTTGTTCAAACATGTTTTTGTTTAACCTCTTATCTTCCCTCTCTTATTAGCTGCCGGAGATGAATCGAGTGAAGACCAACAGGCCATTTGTCACATTTCTCCTGCAGAACCTCGGTTTGCTTTTGGGCTGGACTTGTCTTTTGTTGCTTGCACTTTTTGAACATGAACTAAAATTCTAAAATAGATGTTGACCTGCTCTGCTGGTTCTAACTTTATATTTATGTCATTGTGCATTGTACATATTAATCTATCAGACACGAGCGTTACTTTTTGGACAAAAAGTTACAATACATCATCTCACAATTACAGCATTGGATCATAAATAAATGCTTTAGTTCACTGATGGTTGAGAATTTTTCTATATTCATTGAGATTTACATTGCATAGCATTTTGATTTTTATTGACATTGGCCTACATCGGAACTCCCCACTATTGAAAGAAAATAAAGTCTGAGAATTTGCTGTTTTTCACTTTGTTATGTTCTTTTTCCATGATTTTTTTTCCCATGATTTAAAAAAAAGGGCCAAGTAACAGGAGTAGATATGGTATACTGCTGTTGATATGAAAAACTTTAAGGTTAAAGAAGCCCCCTCTCTTTCAGGCAGTAAGATTTTCTACATCTATCTATAAAGCTCTGTTGGGATAGTTGTTACTCTCATCTCCGACACTTTGTTCTTTGTTTTTTGAGGTCTCTGTATGATCCAATATGAGGGCATTTCCACCCACCTGAACCACACGTTCTCTCCATCCACCAACCTGGGTGACTAATGCCTAGTACTGTACAAACACACAGAGAGTCCGACCCACACAGTGCAAAACACTCTTCAGCTGTCAAAGTGGACCTTCAGGAGGAGGAGGAGGTAGAGGAAGCAGGATGAATACATCAGCTGCAATGAAACAAATGAAAGATAATTTGACCACAGAAATAAATTGGTGGTACTCAAATGGTGAGTGGGCTCAAAAAAGTTTAGTTTCTTTATTGATCAGCCGGCTGTGATTGGCATTCCTCTTTGTTAAACTGCAAAATCAGTTTCATCAGTGCTGTGGGATTATTCACCTATCATGTCAAAAAAAAGCTGACTCCGCTTAGTGCAGTGTCCAAACAATTGAAGGAAGTCAACTGCATTTTCTCCTGTTCTTGCAAATTTGCTGTCAGCTTAGAAAATGCCAGCACTCATTGGCATTTCCAGGAAAACATTGAACATACACATTTGAGAGTACATCTGCTCTTCAACAGTCGAAATGTCAGTTTTTGGCATGTTTGCCACTTTTCAAGGCAACTATTGCCAGAATGGAGGAAGGAAGAGCTTTCATCTGGGGGCGCATTGTTGTGAAGCACTGTCTATCCTTGCATTCTCAGCAGAGACCTAGCAGAAGAGTTTAGAAGGGCATCAGGGCACCAGAACACACAAACAAGTGAGAAAAACAGACACGGGCAGGAAACATAAAAAGATTTCCCTTTGAATTTGAACAGTATCCATTGTTTTTATCCTCAGACAAGATCACACTGGCACTGTTTTTTAGTAGCTAAAGTATTTCATACTGTCTGAGACGTTCATGTGCAGTTTGTCCCATTTTAACTACATCTTTAAATGTAAGAATAACATTTAAAAGCATCAAAAGAAGAGTGGTGCCTAGTGGTAAAAGCAGTGTGCTTGTGCTCTGAGAAGGTTACAATTACACAGTTCGATTCCCACAGCCTGCCCTCTGAGTACCTGAGCAAGACCCTTAAACCCCAGGTGCCGCACAATGGCAGCCCATTACTGCCCAAGGGGCTGTTTATTGTTAATATTAAGAATTTTGAGAAATCTATATAATTTCTGGACAATATTAATTTATGCACACATTTTCATATTTTTTGCAAGAATTCGGTTCGTATGTATGTATGTATGTATGTATGTATGTATGTATGTATGTATGTATGTATGTATGTATGTATGTATGTATGTATGGATTTATGGACGGACCAACCGACCGACACTCAGACGGACAGACAGACAGACTGGCTAACAACACAAAAAAGCTGTGAATAAATAATTTACTTATTCTCTACTTTAACTATTCTTGCAATTATTATGGCTTTGACAACAAAAAAAAGTAAAATTCAATCTCTTTCCAAACTTTGTAGAAATCTTATATTTGCAAATTTGATATTGTCATATAAAATTTCTGCAAAAATACTTTTTTTCCCATGGCACCACATCTGTTTGTGTGTATTAATGATCCCACACGTAAATACACCAAATATTGGTACCACTATTAAAAAATATCTTTAGTAGTTGTGCTTTAACCTCATTAGGACTAAATGGTTAATATCTTAAAACCTCGCCTAACTATAATCGCAGGTTACTGAGAACTTCTCCAAAGAAATCAATGTGAAGTCTTTGTGCATTTAGAGGCCAAAAAATGCAACTACACCATGAACCACAAGAGGGCGATGATGAAACATTAACACGTCAAAGGTGTTATTTATGTTATCAGAGAAGGCTGCAGCTCACTGCACCACTCCATAGATGGGTGGCATACAATTATTTTTACAGAGCTACTCTAAAAAATTGTTCCTATAGAGTTATTGACAATACGTGTTTTTATAAGGAAAAGAACAACATGTGAAACTTAGCAAAAACTAGATAGCCAATAAAGTTAAAGTAGATAGATAAAAAAAAAAGATCTGGGGTTGCACAATTACAATATTAAACAACATTTAGAAGAACATCAGCCATGCATATTTTTGGCTTTTTTTTAAACCTATTATTTCAGTTCCGTTTATTTATATAGTGCCAATTCACAACACATGTCATCTCAAGGCACTTTACAGTTAACCAGATCATACAGTCAAATTGATTTAAAGTTTTCTTTCTAAGGAATAACAGTTGATTGCATTAGCTCATTGATTCAAAGGCAATCTCTTACACTAAGCATGCTTGTAGCAACAGTGGAGAGGAAAAACTCCCTTTTAACAGGAGAAACCTCGAGCAGAACCAGGCTCAGTATGAGCGGTCATCTGCCGAGGCCGCCTGGGGTTCAAGGAGACAGAAGCAGAGATACAAAAGACAACTTTAAAAGGCGGCCTGGTCCAGGAAACACTTCAGCCAGACAGACGAGCTCTGAGCCAACTCCCATGTCAGAGGATGAAGAGAGCACATCCATCGGTCAAAGTCAGAGAAACAGACCTACACTAAAAAACAGGCCAAGCTCCAACATCTATTAAAAAGAGGTGTTGATGGAACCAGCACAGCTGATATTTCTCCCCAGGATGGTGTCAAAGCCAAACAGGAACAGACGAGGTGAAGCTACTATGAGAAAAAACAGAGAGAGCATAACTTTAGAGATTGAGCTAACTGATTCTGCAGAGTGGGAGAATAGAGATAGAATGAAGCTGAATGATGAAAAAGGGGTTCCTATGTCCTCCTGCAGTCTAAGCCTAAAGCAGCATAACTATAGAAATAGCTCAGGATTGCCCGGGCCTCTCTAACTATAAGCTTTATCAAAAAAGAACGTTTTAAGCGTTCCCTTAAAAGTAGACAGGGTGTCTGCCACACGGACTAAAACTGGTAGTTGGTTCCACTGGAGAGGAGCCTGATAACTAAAAGATCTGCCTCCCATTCTATTTTTAGAAATTCTAGGAATCATTAGTAAACCTGTAGATTGAGAGCAAAGTGCTCTGTTAGAAACATAAGGAACAATCATATCTCTAATATAAGACTGAGCTTGGCCATTTAAAGGAATAGTACACCCAAAACATGATTAGCCTTCATTTTCTACTCACCCCCATGCTGAACAACACTCTGGAGTACTTTTTTGATATNAATTACAATATTAAACAACATTTAGAAGAACATCAGCCATGCATATTTTTGGCTTTTTTTTAAACCTATTATTTCAGTTCCGTTTATTTATATAGCGCCAATTCACAACACATGTCATCTCAAGGCACTTTACAGTTAACCAAATCATACAGTCAAATTGATTAAAAGTTTTCTTTCTAAGGAAAAACAGTTGATTGCATTGGGTCATTGATTCAAAGGCAATCTCTTACACTACAGTAAGCATGCTTGTAGCAACAGTGGAGAGGAAAAATTCCCTTTTACAGGAGAAACCTTGAGCAGAACCAGGCTCAGTGTGAGCGGCCATCTGCCGAGGCCGCCTGGGGTTCAAGGAGACAGCAGAGATACAAAAGGCAACTTTAAAAGGCGGCCTGGTCCAGGAAACACTAAGCCAGACAGATGAGCTCTGAGCCAGCTCCCATGTCAGAGGATGAAGAGATCACATCCATCGGTCAAAGTCAGAGAAACAGACTTACACTGAAAAACAGGCCAAGCTCCAACATCTATAAACAAAGGTGTTGATGGAACCAGCACAGCTGATAATTATCTCCAGGATGGTGTCAAAGCCAAACAGGAACAGATGAGGTGAAGCTACTATTAGAAAAAAACAGAGAGAGCATAACTTTAGAGATTGAACTAACAGATTCTGCAGAGTGGGAGAATAGAGATAGAATGAAGCTGAATGATGAAAAAGGGGTCCCTATGTCCTCCTGCAGTCTAAGCCTATAGCAGCATAACTATAGAAATAGCTCAGGATTGCCCGAGCCTCTCTAACTATAAGCTTTATCAAAAAAGAAAGTTTTAAGCGTTCTCTTAAAAGTAGACAGGGTGTCTGCCACACAGACTAAAACTGGTAGTTGGTTCCAGAGGAGAGGAGCCTGATAACTAAAAGATCTGCCTCCCATTCTATTTTTAGAAATTCTAGGAATCACTAGTAAACCTGTAGATTAAGAGCAAAGTGCTCTGTTAGGAACATAAGGAACAATCAGATCTCTGATATAAGACTGAGCTTGGCCATTTAAGGCTTTATATGTGAGAAGGAGGATTTTAAATTCTATTTTGAAATGAACAAGAAGCCAATGAAGAGAAGCCAGGATAGGAGAGACATGATCTCTCTTTTTAATTTTGATCAGAACTCTGGCTGCAGCATTTTGGATCTGCTGAAGGCTTTTAACTACAGTTTTTGGATTTCATTTAAGAAATGCGTGCACTAGTTTCTCAGCATCACTCGTGGACAGGATATTTCAAATTTTTTACAATATTCTGCAGATGAAAGAAGGAAATTCTAGAAACCTTTTGATATGGGATTTAAAAGACAGGTCCTGATCAAAAATAAAACCAAGATTTTTTGTTTTATTATCCAAAATCAGTTCAATCCCATCCAAATGTAGAAACTGACAAATCAGCAATTAGAATAAGAAAACAATTTTACATACAACCTTTACATATCAAGGTTGTATATCAACCTTTAGATTTCAGTCAACATACCAACTGGTTGTTTGGGAGAAATCCCAGGAACTTAAACAGTCTGTCCCACCAACACAAATGTAAACGTGGAATTTGAAAAATGCTTATGAAA